TTTTTAATGTTAGCAGACTATCATTGCTTCACAATGTACATCTCTAATTCAGATCATAGATAATGAAAACAAGACTGAACAATTAAAAGCACCATGTGAAAAATTGAGTATATAGGGGCCCAGCACAGTAGCCCAGTAGCTAAAGTCCTCGTCTTGCATTTTCTGATTACTGACCCAGCTGCTCCACTTCCCTTCCTGCTCCTTGTTTGTGGCCTAGGAAAGCAGTAGAGGATGACCCAAGCCCTTGGGATCCTGTATCTGCGTGGCTTCATGTCAGTTTAGCTCCAGCTGCTATGGCCACTTGGGGCGTGAATCAGCAGATGGATGATCTTTTTTTCTGTTTCTCCTTCTCTCTGTAAATATGACTTTTCAATAAAAATAAATAAATCTTTAAAAAAAGAAATTGTCTTTTTAGAGAGCACTTTTTGTAGATCTAATTATTATTTCTTGGAAAAAGTAGAGTTACAGCAAAAAGAGTAAAGAGGGAGAGAGACAGAGAGAGATCTTTCATCCACTGGTTCACTTCCCAAATGGCCACAACAGCCAGGGCTGGGCCAGGCCAAACCTTAGAGCCTGGGACTCCGATCTGGTCTCCTAACCAGGGTCAAAGCACTTGGACTATCTTCTGCCATTTTATCAGGTGCATTAGCAGAAAGCTGGATCAGAATCGAAGCAGCCAGGACTCAAATCAGCACCCATATGACCACCACTGGCTCCATGAGTTTCTTTTTTTTCTAGGAGAAAAAGAATCATTCAAAAGATTACAAATCACAATGATGTTTTACATGTCTCAGTAGTATCACCCCAAATGCAGTCAGCAAGCAAGCCATCTATCTGGTCTACTTGGATGGTTTAAGATGGACATGTTGGTAGTTGACAGAATACCACATTGATTCCTGTTAACACAGGAACACAAAATAAGCAAGGCCAAGTTCAAGGGTGATTAATTTAATTGATAAAACTGCAAAAAGTCAGTTTTAGATTTAGACAGTTTATTACTTACACTGAGAAAAGAAGGATAAGCCATAGGGGCAAGCTTTGTCCCACATGCCAACATGGAGTACACTAAAACAAAATGATCCAGATTAGTGCCACGTGAGTTGCAGAGCACACCCTTGCTGAAGGGCCATGACTAGGCTCCAGCTACGCAATTTGTACTCTGCAGTTACACTGGGATAAGAGACAAGGAATTCTGTACCTTATCAGAACCCTGGAGGTGATGAGGGAGCAGCCCAAGACAGCCTCCAAGGGAGACAGTGAAGGGAAGCGAAGACAATCTCCCATTCTCCTGTGTTCCAGAAAGATCACAAGGGATCTATCACACTCAGATCAGCCGTGGCTTTGCCCATTCTGCAAGATACCCGGGACAACATGGTGCAGCTATTCCCCTGGAGTTGCTTGATCTTTGAGATAAGACTATCTTGCTGCAGAAATCTAAAAGAGACTTCTACAATCACGTCCCCAGTCCTGCCTCCCCTGTTAGAATGGCAAATCCTCAGGAGTATGACAGATTAGCGTAAACCTTAAGTAGCTGATATTTGATAGAGTCTATCATCTTCCTGTTTCTACCAGTATGACTGCTACAGAAACCAGACCGACACAGGAAGTAGATAGTAGACCACTGCACATTCAAGCTAAGTGACGAGAGTGGTGGATTCATAAATGCCCAGGCACACTATTGTGAACCTTTATGGCAAATACTACTTTCCATTACTACAGGAGAGAGTGCCAAGAAGCAAGAGTACATATTTAGCCCTATTCCTGAATAAGAATAATCTATCAAGAGAGTCAAAAATAGATGAAAAGTGGTTGGAGAAGTCACAGAGACAGATGGAAAGACGAGGTTTGTCTAGCAGGGAGATAGCAGAGAAGGTTTATATTCAGATGTCTGACCATCATTTTGCGAGAGGAGTTAGCCTTGGGTAGTAGGCAGTTAGGGTATTCTGGGTCCCCAAGTCATTTTTCCTCAAATATAAAAGAGTATTTTCCCCACCATGTCTTGGATTCACCTGAGCACCTCTCTTCCAAGGGACAAGGGTGATATTAGCATATCAATTGCCCACCTGAAGCATTAGCCATTATCTCCAGCCATTGTGTGGGAGGGCCTCAGGCTGGTCTCCTCATCATTGAAAAGAGGACTGGAGAAAGTACTCCTATTCCCAAGGCCAGGAATGTCCAGTGTCTGACACCTGTCTGGTCTGTTGCCCCAAAGCCAGATACCAGGGGGACCAGAAATTTTGTTTTGTCCTTGGAGAGCCCCTTTGAAGTAAACCTTTAAAGGTGTTTTCCCCACCATTAATATGGGTCTCTTTTTTCTCCACTTTTCCTCCTGCCACTATGGCAGGGGGTAAGAGTCCTTTCTATCTCAGAGCCCCCTCCCTACAAGTTCATATGTCAGGACTATTTCTATTAGAAAGAATAGGGCCTGGCGGCATGGCCTAGTGGCTCAAGTCCTCGCCTTGAATGCCCAGGATCCCATATGGGCACCGGTTCTAATCCCGGCAGCTTCACTTCCCACCCAGCTCCCTGCTTGTGGCCTGGGAAAGCAGTCAAGGACAGACCAAAGCCTTGGGACCCTGCACCCACGTGGGAGACCTGGAAGAAGTTCCTGGATCCTGGCTTCGGATCGGCATAGCATCAGCCATTGTGCTCACTTGGGGAGTGAATCATTGGATGGAAGATCTTCCTCTCTGTCTCTCCTCTTCTCTGTATATCTGACTTTCCAATAATAATAAAAAAAAAAAAAGAATAAAAGCTTTAAAAATTTGAAGATGAAGCAGCTTCACAGCCTCCATCTATGTTCGGATGCTGTTAGCATAATAAATTATACATTTATTAATGGAATGCCTTTGTGATCACAAACATGTATTATTGCTCCCTCAGGAATGATTCAATGTCCAAACCCTATAAACTCGGGAATGGCACTTGAGCAGGACCCTCAGAGCATGGCCCACATCGGGGACCTGGGATAAGTGGGAGACTGGGTGGGGCTTCTCCTTTTATCTCCCCCTTTACCCCAGATACAAAAAAAAAAGTGGAAATAATAGTCTTACCGACTTTCCTGTAGCCCTTGAACCTTTGTGCCCTAATTTAAAGATTGTTAAAAAAAGGCATGAAAATAAATAAGTATTTTAATTAAAAAAAACTCAGGAATGGCTATGTGACATTTTTTGACTAATGAAATAGGAGAAGATTGTATGATGTGTCACTTTCAGAAAGCCAGTTTCAGAGCTAGGATCTCTTCCTGTCTCTGTGATCACAAAAACATTTGTCAAGATGTGGTATTAAGAATAGAAAGATAGTAGTAAGAACAGAAACAGAGGCCAGTGTGGTGCTACAGCGGGTAAACCTGCCATCTGGCACCCAACTTCCCATGTGGACACCATTCGGCATTCTGGCTGCTCTCATTTGATCAGCTCTCTGTAGATGCACCTGGAAAAACAGCCCAGGATGGCCCAAGAGTCCCACACCACGCTGGAGACCTGGGAGAAGTTCCTGGCTCCCGACTTCAGATGGGACCGGCTCTGGCTGTCACCACCATGTGAAGGAATGAAGCAGTGGCTAGAAGACATCTCGGTCTCTATGTAAATCTGGTTCTCAAATAAAATTAAATCTTTAAAGAAAAAAAAGGTAAAAAGGAACTTTCAAAAACTAGATGCTTGTAATTACTGATCAATTAAATGGGGACAAAATTTTATCCCACCTACAGAGAATAAGCTATATGAGAGTAGCTTCCTGTTACTGTATCCCAAGACCCAAAATGAGGGAGCTTGTAGACTTTTCATTTGTTTTTTTGTTTTTGATCTTTTATTTGTTTGGTGTGTACCTGAACCCTTTGACAAGCATTAGCTAAACCACTTTGTGTGAATCTAAGGCAATAATACAAGCAGAAAAAATTTGATGGAGTTCAAACGCTGGCAGAGCAAAGAATATTAAATCAAATCCCCTACATCACTACTCATTTTGATAAGACACTCATTAATCGCAGCGTTTTTTTAAAAAAAAGTCTAACGTGAGAAAGATTTGTTCATTGAACAACCCAAGCCAGTCCCTGGCAACCAAGTACGCTTGCGTGGGTCTTGGATGTTGCTGTGGTTGTATCTACACCCCGCGGATCACGTAGGTACTGAGACCCCATAGGACCCCAGGAGCCACCCCATCGGACCCCAGGTGCCACCCCATCGGACCCCAGGTGCCACCCCATCGGACCCCAGGAGTCACCCCATAGGACCCCAGGAGTCACCCCATAGGACCCCAGGTGCCACACCATCGGACCCCAGGAGTCACCCCATAGGACCCCAGGAGTCACCCCATAGGACCCCAGGTGCCACACCATCGGACCCCAGGAGCCACCCCATCGGACCCCAGGAGCCACCCCATCGGACCCCAGGAGCCACCCCATCGGACCCCAGGAGCCACCCCATAGGACCCCAGGAGCCACCCCATCGGACCCCAGGAGCCACCCCATCGGACCCCAGGAGTCACCCCATCGGACCCCAGGTGCCACCCCATCGGACCCCAGGAGCCACCCCATCGGACCCCAGGAGCCACCCCATCGGACTCCTGGGTCCAACACACAGAGCAACGTGCCTTCTAAGAGAACTCTGACCCCAAGAAGAGTGAAAGCAGGGAGGTCCGACGAAGGACAAACCGAGACCGGACCTTGGGTGGATGTTTTATTGACTAGTCTTCATTACGGGAGCAATCAGAAGGACTGGGAAAAGGACAAAGCAGGAATGACAGCTGGGATGAGGACAGATGCCATTTAACACCCGGAACCGACAGCACCAAGACACTCTGGGATCCCGCGGCTTAGGGTAAATCCCGCGATATTGCCTCGAATTCCCGAGGGCCGCGCCCGCCTGCGCGGAGCGCTCCCGCAGGGGCGGGGCTGGCGGCGGTTCGCGCGGACCCTCGCCGCGTCGTGCTCTGAGATATCGCGACAATCTAGGCTCTCGCGATCTCTCCGCAGCCCACGCCGCACGCGGAGGTTGCTGGGCCGGGAGGGCGGAGACGGGGCCGGAGGGAGAAGCTTGCGCTACGGAAGCCTGCAGGGGAGAGCAGGGTCTGCTGCCCGATTTGGGGTCGCGATGCCCAGTGCCAACGCCAGCCGCAAGAGTCAGGAGAAGCCGCGGGAGATCCTGGACGCGGCCGAAGTGGGTTTCCTCCTTCCGTCCGCGCTGAGGGAGGGCGGGGGTGCCGCGTGCGGGGGGGTCCCTGGCAGTTCCTGGCTGACCGGCCGTGGGGCTGGGGCTGCCCCCATGCCTAGGGCTACTGCGGAGGCTGGGGGTCGGGGGGCGTGCAAGCACCAGCTGCCCCGGAAGGAGGAGAGGCCCCACTTGAGCCTCTCGGGGTCAGGCACGTCCTGCACGTAGCGCTCCTTGGCCCGGGTGCATTTCCATGTTACCTAGCGGGTGCTAAGCAAGCCTTCCTTTTCCTAAAGCTTTGGCTGGGGATTGACGGCTCTTCTGCCCCCCCAAAACCACACCGTCTGCCAGATTGCTGAGTGACCCACTTTGCATGTGGCAGCATTAAAGGGCACCTGTCGTTTAATTTCCTTTTGCCCTCACGAGTAAGGGAGCTTGAAGTTTGCGAGACACCACATGTGAGATCGCTTGCCCCCGAACCCCGTGATTAAAATAACATCCAGTGATTTTTTTCACTGCTTTTCAAAAATGGAAGTTTAAAACCAAGGAGATTGTGTGTGTTGTCATGACATTGACATCCGCTTAGCCTTGCGTGGCCTCTGGTTTTCTTTTGAACAATTGTGAACTTGGGTTAAACTATACATGAAGTAGCTTATCTGGGGATACTAAAGGGAGTGTCTGAATAGCACCAAATAGAAGGGGGCGGGCTCTTCTCTGCATATCTTTGACCTATTAGTACTGCTTTCAGGCCTCATTGTGCCACTGTATGTCTCTTGTGCCCAGGTTAACCTGGTCTTTAAAGTGTGCTTTGTATTTGGGGGAAAAAAGCCAGGTAGGCACCTGAATGTTTTTTGGTTTGTTTTGCTATAGGTACAAAATCCGATATGCTCCAGATGCAAAGGAGAGATTCCAACAGTTAGCTATGCAGTAAAATAAACTGATTTTGCCATACTCATCTTGGGTTACCTTTTAAGAATCTAAGGAAGTTATTATAATTATTTTTAAAACATTTATTTTTATTGGAAAGTCAGATTTACAAAGAGTAGGAGAGGAAGGAAGATCTTCCATCTGCTGGTTCACTCTCCAAATGGCTGCAGTGACTGGAACTGAGCCCATCTGAAGCCAGGAGCCAGGATGCAGGGGCCCAAGGCTTTGGACTGTCCTGGACTGCTTTCCCAGGCCACAAGCAGGGAGCTGAAAGGGAAGTGGAGCAGTTGGGACACAAACCGGCACTCATATGAGATTCTGGCCCTTTCAAGGGGAGGATTAGCCAACTGAGGTATCACCCTGGGCCCTCTGTTTATTCTTGATTTTATGAATTATATGAACCAGCAGTGTATCCTTCCACATACATAGGTCTAATGATATTAAAAAAAAATACTGTGGCAAAGTTATGTGATTTTTATAGCTAGAAGGATCTTGAGATAATTTTATTAGTAAAGTAAGATTAGAGGCCATGTACCTATTTTAATAGATAGTTTATTAATAGTCTAAAATCCAAGTCTCCTGTTGCCTGTTCCTTATTTTAAATCTGTAACAAGAGATATTATTGGGTTGTCACTTTTGAGTGCTTATAACCTGATGCCCTGAAAGCCGGTTTTTAGATACTGGAGCTGGTGATTTTTTTTTGATGATATTTTACAGAAGGAAAGTTGCAGTTGATATCCAACATTCCCAGTTTCTAGAAACTGTGAATGTCTGAGGTTCAACAGCTTACCCGAAACATTGATTCTTTAAACATCTTTTCCTGCAATAGTTATAAAATGGTGATATTTCATCCCACTTCCTTCACAGAGGAAACTTATATTCCTGTTTTGAAATCTTTTGATCTCTTTTTTAAAGAAAGTAGTTTAGATGTTGTGCATGTGTGTAGATTTTATGAGACTGTTATGTATCGTATATCTATCCAGGAGTGGTGATCTCCAAAAGCAACTAGAAACTGGGTGATTTTTTTTTCTTTATAGAGTATTTATGTAAATGGATGGCAGATTTCCACATTTTGAAGCTACTGATTTTGAAATATTGCTGAAGGTTAAATCTGGCTCGTTTTTATATTTTGTTACTATGTTTGCACTTACTTTGCTACTAATGTTTAATTAAAATCATGCAAACTTCTTTTGTAGGATTATGCTAAGGAGAGATATGGAATATCTTCAATGATACAGTCACAAGAAAAACCAGGTCAGTAGCTAACTGATAAGAAATAAATCCTTTTTTTTTCTCATTCCAAGAAAATTTTTAATGAGGTTTTAAGTAAGAGGGCTGGTGTTGTGGGTCAGCGTGTCAAGCTTTCACCTACAATAGTGGCATCCCGTATGAACACTGGTTCATGTCCAGCTGCTCTCCCACCAGTACATCTGTGAAAAGCAGTAGAATATGGCCCAGGTACTTGGGTCCCTGCCAACACCATGGGAGACCCAGCTGGACTTTCAGGGGCCTAGCTTCAGCCTGTCCCTACCCAGCTGTTACCACCATTTGAGGAGCAAACTCAAGAATAGAAGATTGCTCTCTCTCTCTGTATCTCTATCTTTGTAACTCTGACTTTGAAATAAATAAATTAGTCTTTAAAAAGAGAAATTTTAGGAGCCAGCATGATGGCTAAGATGGCTAATCCTCAATCTACAAGTACCAGCATCTTATGTAGGCACCTGTTTGTGTCTTGGCTGCTCCACCTCTGATCCAGCTCCTTGCTTACTTATGGCTTGCAAAGTCAATGTACAAAAGGGTGGTCCAAAGGCTTGGGACCAGGGACCCTACACCTTCATGGGAGGACGAGGCTCCAGATTCTGTTTCTGGCCTTCGATCAGCTCAGCTCCTGCCATTGCAGCCATTTCAGGAGTGAACCAGAGGAAAGAGAATCTTTCTGTCTGTCCCTGCTTCTCTCTAAATCTGTCTTTGCAATAAAAATAAAATCTTTTTAAAATGAAATTTTAAGTAAGATTGAGATAATTAAAGGCATGATGCTGCAAAAACTGAAATGACATTAATAACCCAAGTAGATGCCATACCCCTTGTAAAGAGGTCTCTGTTTAAATAATTGAGAAGCAAATGGGTGAAGTGATACTGTAGATTTGGTGACACATTTCAAAGGGTAGGTGCTTTTTAAAATATTGCTAAATAATTAGGTAAAAGGTTTAACTCTTGGGATAAAGAAAAGTTGTTAATAGTGGTAAATGCCTTCATCACTTGCTTTTTTTTTTTTGGCATGCTTTATTGACACTGTCATCATTTCTGTACCTTTCTTAACATCTGACTAGTTTGGGTTATTATTTATCAGACTTCTGTTCTGCTTGTCTCTTTTCCAAAAATCTTATTTTTCTATCCCATCTTTAAAACATCCTCAAATTCTAAGCCAAGCTGAAAGATAAGAAACTGAATCTCACAAGGCAGGAAAGCATATACCAGACCTGGAATACAAGAACCAGGTTTATCTGATCCTGGAGTCCGTTTGTCTTTGCACCCCTTTGAGGCCTAAGGTTGAGCAATAACCTAAAACTCAGTTCCCTGTCCCCTCACATTTTGCTTATTTTTACCTGAGTATCTTAAGAATGAAACTATTCTTAGACTCTAGTCTGTCTTTTCTTATTACAACTTTCTTTAAAAAAAAAAAGAGTTTCATCTTCATGCTTCTTTGAAATTGCTTTTATTCATGTTAATTGGCTCTGACCTGTATTCTTTTGAGGAAGGTTGCTAAGATTTATTCTAAAAGGGCAGTGTTGGCCTTCGTGTTGCCCATTTGCCTTTGGAAACTGGCGAACGTGGTGTCAAGGAGGGCGTACATTGACTGCTTGGCAGCCTTTTCCAGCCCGGAGATTCCGTATCTCTGGTGAAGGATCTGCACAAGTGACAGTTGAAGCTAAAAAAAAAAAATCATTACCATAAATCAAGCATTATTTTGTCATAGTTAATGATGTTTCAGACCATTTGATGTTATAATAAATGCTGATGACCTAAAATCCGTGCTGTGCCTCTCAATTTTGATGTCTTAAAATCATCGTGATGTCATAAACCATTATGTTGCTCTAATTGTAATGTCATAAACCGCCATTCACATGTTTTAATCAATTATGATATAAGCTAACCATTTTAATGTTTTGAATTCTTACATGAGGGCCCAGCGCTATAGCGTAGTGGTTAAAGTGCTCACCTTGCACACACTGGGATCCCACATGGGCGCTGGTTCTAATCCCGGCGGCCCCACTTCCCATCTAGCTCCCCGCTTGTGGCCTAGGAAAGTGGTCGAGGACGGCCCAAAGCCTTGGGACCCTGCAACCCATGTGGTAGACCCGGAAGAGGTTCCTGGCTTTGGATTGGCTCAGCTCCAGCCATTGCAGCCACTTGGGGAGTGAACCATCAGACGAAGACCTACCTCTCTGTCTCTTCTTTCTGTATATCTGCCTTTCCAATAAAAATAAATAAATCTTTAAAAAAAAATTCTTATGTGATACCACATTCAGTTGTAAAGTCACAAAAATGATAGTTATAAGCCAGTATTATGCTATAAACCATCGTGATTTAATAGTCAAACATAATTCATGACAACCATTATGACTTAACCTGGTATCATTTCTTACTTGTGATGTCATGAGCATTTGTGTTGTCAAGAGCCAGTTATTGTGATGTCATATTCAACTGCAATGTCATAAACCTACCATTGTGAGATTATAATCAATCATGATGTCATAAAACATGTTTGTGATAGTTTTATGTAAAAAGTATTACTTGGTTCAAAACAACATGTTGGTGCCATAAACCTACCATTGTGATATCATAATCAACCGTTGTGTTGTCATGATGAATTTTGAAGTCAAAATCTATTATGACATCATAAACCCAGAATTGTTATGTCATACACCTTTATTGTGATGTCATGTCAAGATTTCAATGCTATAAAAGCAACATAATGATATATTAACTGATGTCATAGACAGTTGGCTAGAAATCTATTGTGATCACATAAAAATTATTGTGATGTTATAAGCTGCCGTTGTGATGACATTAAAATCCTTGTGCTGTCATAATGGATGGGGGATGGAAACATGGTGTTAGGGAAAGAGAGGGGAGAGAGATCTTCTGTCACCAGTTTACTCTGCACATTCTGGCTGGGCCAGGCCAAAGCCAGGAGTCAGAAATACATCCTGGTCTGCCATGTGGGAGCTGGGACAAAGTATGTGTGTGCTCTTCCATTATCTTCCCAGATAACTTTGCAGGGATCTGGTTCAGAAGTGAAGTAGCTGAGGCTTGAACCTGCTCCAATTTGGAATGTTGACATCATAGGCTGCGTCTTAACTGGCAAGGTTTTTTTTTTTTTTTAGTAGACACCCATAAATGTATTTTAAGACCTACCTCTAAGAAGACTGGTTTTTATGTTTTGGAATTAATACATATTCACATTGATTTTATTGCCATTTTAGATGTGGTTTTACTACATGATTATAAAATCACTTTTACTTCTTTTTTTCCTATTTTGTTGGAAAAATATATGAAATTAAAAAAAAATCAAACTAGTTTTCTAAGAATTCAAGTGAAGTATTTCAGTCATCATTTGCATCCCTAGATTGGATTTAGGGGGTTCAGGCAGCATCTTAAGGGGTTCCTTTACCCTTGGCAGCTTCTTCTAAGATATCAACAATTGGCCGCATTTTCTTGTCTTGACACTCATGCTAAATGGGACAGAAGGTAGCTGCAAATCCTGAGCTTATATCATCTCACCCAAAAGAAGAGGGCCTGGATACATCACTTGCAGACCCGGGAATGACTTCCTAGAGAGGGACTTTGTGCATCTCCCAGTGTAAGGGTACATACTCTAACTATGTCATGAGGAATGTGGCACTAGGACAGCTTTCCAGGCTAGCTAATTTATATGCTATGTCAGGCAAGCAAAACTACTGTGTCTACTTAGGGATGAGCAGGTAAGGGCAGGCTATGTTTGACCTTCAAAATCTTTCAGGTGTTTGGCAGATTTACATTTTCAAGCTGCCCCTGCCTACATTACAGACTGTTGCAGAAGGGGTCAGAGATTGTTAGATCTCTCACACTGTTGCTAGAATTTAAGAGATAATAGTTCGTGTCAAGGTAGTAACAGTGAAGAGAAAGAATTGCATGGATTCTACAGATAAATTTGGAAAGTTTAATTTACAAAACTTGAGAATTACATATGGAAAGGATAAAGGAAAAAGTGTCATCAAGGATTGAGATTTATTTAGAATGCTACCAAGTGCTTATGCTAGCTGCCAGGCAGAAACAGGTATATCATTGTAAATTCTGAATTTAGAATTGTTTTACCGTTTTTCACAGATCGAGTGTTAGTTTCGGTTAAAGACTTGACCGTACAAAAAGCTGATGAAGTTGTTTGGGTGCGTGGGAGAGTTCACACAAGCAGAGCTAAAGGTAAGTTTAATGTAGTAGTTACAGCCCTTTTGATAAAAGACCTGAGTATTTTTGTCTTGCAAATTCCTAACAGATTAAAGTACATCTTTAGAAATGGAACAACATAAGCATAATTATCTCTGTTAAGTTACTATGCCATGGTTAATCAGTTTTGAATTCTTGTAAAATATTGTTAAGGACAGCTTGACCGCAAAGACTAATGAAGTGTAAGACTTATTGGTGCCTTTCTAGCATCTCTTAAAAATTTAATTATTTGAGCAGAGAGATAAGGCTAAGACATTGGGCTGTTGAATATGGAAGCCACTGATCATACATATGTGTTTAAGTTTTGATTCAAATGCAACAGTTTTGTCACACTAGCTGTGATTTGGAATGTGGCTAGTGGCTTCCATTTGGGATGGAGAGCACAAATATAAAAGTTAAGTCATTTTGAACGGTGCAAGGATTTAGTGTGAGCTATACAGAAGAAACACTAGGATAATTTAGATGAACCTTGGATTCTTATGAAAAGTTGGTCTAACCTAATATTCAAAGTTATATGAAGATATTAGTGATGCTTGTATTATTTTATATGTTCATATTTCTCACACACTGTTTCACATTTGATCATCCCAAACAAAATAGGGAAAATAGGTATTGGTGTTCTACTTGATAAAAACAAAAAGACTGAAGTTAAGAATGATGATGTTATACCAATGTCTCAAAATAATTGTTACAGTATGCACAGAATTCAGGGGCTTTCTATTATGTGGCTCTTTTTCAGACTTCTTTGTTTTTATATTTACCAAGTTAGAAAGTTTTGTAATAGTTTTTAAATAAATTTTATTGTAAAATTAGTATAAAGCTATTTCAGTTTGTAGGGAAAATGAAATTAATGGTTGATTTAAATATCTAAAAACATTGAAATCTATTCATAAGTTTTTTTCAGAATATACATTTTTTAAGAAACTTTTGAAGATTCTTTGTATACATGAATTTAAAATTTTTATTGCACCAAAATAAAGTTTTTAATTCTAGAAATTTCTGGAGCCGTCCCCATATGTGTTCATTGTTTTAAAAATTCTAGTATTTTTTACATCTGTCTCAGTCTCATATCCTGCCTGCACAAACATGAATATGTTGGACTTTAGGAACAGTACTGATAGTGTATAATACTAAGTTCCCTTGCATAGACTTGACAAAAGATAATCACATTGTATTATTATTCTTTATTTACTTTCCTTTATCCCATTAGACTGGGAACCTTTGCTGTTTCCAAATTGAGCATTTTGTTTCCTAATCAGTAACTTAGCAAATTTAAAAATAGAACACAAACTACATGTAAACCTTCACTATAATACTTACGTTCATACCCACTGCTCCATTTCGTTCTTTACATTTGTTTATCTTTCTTCTCAGCATTTAAAACACAAAACTGAGTGATATCTCCGACAGGTTTATGTTATGGGCATGTATATGTATCTCAATTTTTATTCTAAATTCTTGCCCCTACAGAGATAAGAATTTGAAGCCAAGGCACAAACAGTGACAAGTGAAAGTAGGACTTATTTAAAAGCAAGAGAGTGAATATACCTTCATTGGGCGGGGGTTGCTGGGAGGGGCTCCTGTATATAGTCATGAGTTTGTATTTGGAAAGAGTGACAGGAGGTCAGAGAAGGGCCCAGAAGCATGTGTATTAGTTCCTTATATGAAGTAGAGGGTGGTGCCCCAACTGAATAACAAACACAGTGGCGTTTCAAGTATAGCAGGCTCTGTGGTAATCAATAGTTCCAGCTTGTGGGAAAGTGGGCATACTAGATTGACAGTTGAGGGGGTGGGACTGTAGTCCATGACAATGCAGAAATTATGAGAAAATATTCCAGCACAACTATTCCTACCCAATTTTCTTGCCTAGTTCACCACATCAGTTATGATCGTGGACTTTGGCATTAGATTGAGCTATGTTAGAATACTGGGTTTGTATTTACTTGCATTTCATGGTAGATTTTGTATATATTTTTTTCCTATCGTAGGCTCATGCAAGGTAATACTGCTGTTTATTTTATTTCTTTTTTGATGCACAACACCCAGTAAAATCCCTAGCATATAATTGATGACTAAATTAAATACTAAGTGAGAGTTGTTTTATACAAATATAATAGAGCATTGTTGCCTAGGTCTTATAATTGACCTACATTAGCTTGAGATGATCAGGCAGATAGTTTAAGAAAGTAGAGACCATTATAAATCATCACACAAATAAAAGAAGTGTCATCTGCTCGTGGTTTTTTCAAGTTGTAACAAATAATTTTTGCCTTCCAAGTGATAGTGCTTGTCTAAAAATATGCAAAAATTGTAAAGAATTTAAAATGATCATGTAAGGTGATAATGTAGCTTAGGCATTTCTCCTGTGTGTGTATGATTCTGTTTCATAATTTAATGACTATATAGTATTTGTAGCATGGCTGTACTTATGTTTTTCCACTTGTGGAAGGTTTAATTTTAATTTACATTTCAATCATTGGTTAGAGTAAACTTTTTTTATACTATGCTAGCTATTTTTCACTTCTGTTGTACATTGTTTCTTCTTGTCATAACAGGTAGCAAAGAAGGTAGTAAAGACTATGGTTCCATGAAAAGGAATTTCGGAACCAACTTAAAGAGACTGCCACAGATTGAAAAAGAGTAGTTTGAGGATTAATAAAAATAACAGTGGTTAGTTGAAACACCTCAGACATGTTTAAATCTGTAACCTTGTAAGAATGCAAAGACAGGAGCCCGTTGCAGTGGCCCACTTGACTTATCCTTCTCTCACAAGCACCAGGATCCCATATGGACACCAGTCGTGTCCCATGTCCTGGCTGCTCCACTTTCTGATCCAGCTATCTCCTGATGACTTGGGAAAGTAGAGGAGGATGGCACGTTGGAGACTTGGAAGAAGCTCCTGACTCCTGGCTTCAGATCAGCTTAGTTCTGGTCATTATGGCCATTTGGGGAGTGAACCAGCAGATGGAAGATCTTTCTATCTTTCCTTCTCTGTAAATCTTCCTTTCTGGTAAAATAAATGAATCTTAAAATGGTTAAAGTCATTGCCTTGCACATGCCGGGATCCCATATGGGCACCGGTTCTAGTTCCATCAGCCCTGCTTCCCATCCAGCTCCCTGCTTGTGGCATGGGAAAGCAGTCAAGGACAGCCCAAAGCCTTGGGACCCTGCACCCACGTGGGAGACCTGGAAGAAGTTCCTGGTTCCCGGCTTCGGATCGGCACAGCACTGGCCGTTGCGCTCACTTGGGGAGTGAATCATCAGATGGAAGATCTTCCTCTCTGTCTCTCCTCCTCTCTTTATATCTGATTTTGTAAGAAAAATAAATAATCTTTAAAAAAAAAAAAGACAAAGTAACAAATATCTTGGGACCAAGGTAATTATATGGAAAACTGGCAAAGGGTTTTGTGTATAGATTATGTATCACTTGTCAACAAAATGCTAGATAAGATATGAGGAAGGTTCTGGTTAGAGAACTCTTCCAGCCTGTAAAATGAACAAAAAAATGTTAAAGTGTTGCCATTTGCCCCTAATAAATTATGCCTGCATGGATCATCAGTGAATGCTAACCTAGCAATGGAGACACAATCAGAAATAGTCTGCTCTTCAAAGAATACAACTACAGCTGTGGAATAGTCTTGCTCAAGCCATGCCTGAATTTGACCTTAGATATATTTACAAACATTGGACTTTCAAAGGAACGTGTGAAATGAAAAGGGATAGATTTATTGTAATCCAGTAGGGAACTACCAAGTAAAAACATCCTAGTTCCTTCAATAAATTTGAAAGGAGGACCCAGCATGGTGGCCTAGTAGCTGGGGTCCTCACTTTGCACATACTGGGATCCTATATCGGCACAGGTTCTAATCCTGGCAGCCCCGCTCACCATCCAGCTCCCTGCCTCTGGCCTGGGAAAGCAGTGGAGGACAGACAGCACAAAGCCTTGGGACCCTGCACCTGTGTGGGAGACCTGGAAGGGCTCCTGGCTTGGGATCAGTTAAGCTCTGGCCATTGCAACTGTCAGGAGAGTGAATCATTGGACAGAAGATCTTCCTCTCTGTTTGTCCTCCTCTCTGTATACCTGACTTTGCAATAAAAATAAATAAAATACATCTTTAAAAAATGAGAGTTGAAACATATGAATTAAACCTTAAAATTTAAGATATCTCTTATCACTTATTTATTTATTTGTTTGTTAGATTTATTTATTTATTCATTTATTTATTGTTGCGCTCCCCAAGTGAGCGTAACAGCGGATCCGAAGCCAGGATCCAGGAACTTCTTCCAGGTCTCCCACACAGGTGCAGGATCCCAAAGCTTTGGGCCGTCCTTGACTGCTTTCCCAGGCCACAAGCAGGGAGCTGGTTGGGAAGCAGAGCTGCCAGGATTAGAACCAGCGCCCATATGGGATCCTGGCGCATTCAAGTTAAGGACTTTTAGCCACTAGGTCACGCCATTGAAGCCCTGTAGGTTTTTTTTTTTTTTTTTTGTAAGGTATAACATTTGTATTGTCGGATGTTTGAATGTTAGCTGGATGTTTGAAAATTTTTAAAAATTCTTCAGAGGTTCATACTAAAATGTGTATAGATTAAATAATATGGTTACAGTTTGTGTTGGAACAGTACCAGAATTGAGGGAAAATGGGATGGGGTGAAGCTGAAATAGGAATGCCATAAGCTGATATTTATTGAAATGCAGTGGGATTATAGTTAATGATATTGTTGATGTATAATGGCCATTCTGGTCTTTCTGTATATTTGTATCTCAATACTTGTTTCTTTTGGCAATAAATACATTCTTCTTACCATGAAGAATGTTTTCAGCAGTGGAGATTTAAGCTGCCAATGACTCTTTCAAGCTTTAGCAATTCTACATAAAATATCATTTGAAAATAATGAGGCAGTTTAAAAAGTACATTAAGAGTAGTTTTCATCTGACTATTAAGAACAGGTGCTGATTTTTGTCTGATGTTTTCA